GATTGTAGAACGACTATTTATATTGAACTGGAGAGAAGATAAAAGTGAACAGTGGTCAGTCTTGCCAAAAGGTGGCAAATAATCTAAATTAGAAACAAAGTCAGCGTCGTTAACGAATATCAAATCCAGAGCCCTAGGCGTCTGTCCTTTTCTGAATCTCGTTGGACGATCAACAAGTTGAGATATGCTAGAGTTACGTAGCAAGTCGATGTAAGCAGCAGAAGAAGAATTGCATTCCGGAATGGTTGACATAGGCCAGCTAATGTCACGTAGATTGAAGTCACCAGCTATGAAAAGGTTGGTGTTTTTATTTAAGTGATCTGAAATGAGACTGCACAGGTGTGTGTCTCCCAAACAGGGCCGTGGCCGATATATGCAGCCTATCGTGGAGCTGAAATTTGGGCACCTCAATTCCAAAAATAGATTGTCAGTGCCATCGAAAAGACTGAAAGAGGGAGATACCGAGAAGCCGACGCGATTTCCGTGCGAACATAAATGCATAGTCCACCAAAACCAGGAGTGCGTGGTGAATCCATTCTGTATAAATAGTATCCAGGCAAATTGATGGAAGAGTCGGACACGTTGGAATGGAGCCATGTTTCCGTAAGGCAAACGAACGTTGGATTATTGTCTCGAACAAATGCTTGGAGTTCAGGTAGCTTTGAAAAGAGAGATTGTATATTAGTGTAACAAATCGTCCAGTTTGCCACAGAATTTATCAGTTTTTTGAAGGTGTGATCTCCTGGGTAGCTGTGTGTACTATAGAAGGTTTACCACGAACGTATTTTATAGTAATGTTACTTTCGCCTGTTGTTTGACGACGTCTAAGCTCTTCGCGAAGGTGTTGTAGTTCTTGCATTTGACCTCTGGTTTTGTCGTCAGAGATTTTTACGTGACGAAGCGTGGGGTGAAGGATGGAGTTTTTCTTCCGCAAAATATTGCTGACGATAATAGGTGAGGAAAACACAACTCTAATTAAACGATTGCTTGAAGTTGTTCTGGCAAGGCGAGTGATGCTGAGTCGGTGATTTTCGGCAGATGGTTCAATATGCCTAATTATCTCTGATACTATGTTTATGTCGTCGTTCCCTTCAGCTATGCCCCTCAGAATGATATTGTGGGAACGTCTAAATAACTCCATTGTCTCAGCTTGGGAGCTTGGGGCAATAGGGGTAGAAGAAGCGCCGTTGCCTGAGTGCATCGTCTCCATAGATCTTGCAAGTCTCGATTCAATATTAGCAATGTTAGAAGACAGCTCTGTTTGAGAGTAACCTGGATATTTTGTATGTTGGTTTTGCAGGCCGCTATTAAATATGAGATGCCAGATTGTCAAAGGGTGAATTTTCATGGAAGAAGGATCTGCTATGGTGATATTAAAGTAAAAATGGTAGCTTTCTGAATACCCGCAATAGTGCTTCAATATGCGCCGAGCTTCTCAGTATCGACATTGATCTATGCTCATTGATCTAGGTTTCAAAACTTATTATGGAGTGTTTTAGTTGGAATACTACTTGATTCTTAATTCGTCCTTGTGGAATTGGTGTCCTGAAAATATTGTAGATCATAATTATATGTATCGAGTTTTTAGTATGGAAGTGAGTCAGACCAAATTACCTACAACACCGCCAATCAATCGTTCTAACATTTGGAGAACCAGATCTAGCGACCGATCCCACTTACACAAAGGTGAGCTGGATCCTAGCTTTGTTTGGTCCACCGACTCTGGTCTCATTCTCTTCTCAATCTGATGACTGAGATCTAATGTATATTCTTCACTACACATATGACCTGAATCTGGCCGATCATGTTTCAGCAATATCCTAGGTGTCATCGACACAGCGGGGCAAGCCAATAATAAAGAACTGCTCCGAAAAGCCAGAGTCTGGAGGAGGGCATTCTGTAATATAAATGGAAAGACGGGCACCAAAGTTGAATGAAAAGCAGACTATATGATATAAAGTCAGCACTCGTATGAATCAGGGCTGTTCAGAATAGAACCGACGTTTTACAGAGATTCCGGTTACCAGTAATTTCCACCGATTTTAATGATAACAGCGGCGTTATATTACCATACTTCGGAAACAGGCTGAAAGTCAAATAATACTGGACATCAAATTTTAGTTCTTTAATTGTATCTTGTGGGAAAAGTGCACCTCTTTGTTAATTTTGGGGCGCTGAATCCAAAAATGACAATGAAATAAAAAAATTAGTTGTGGTTTAGAAAAAAACTTTTTATTTTTAAGGATATATTAAAAAAGTAACAAGATTCATATACTTATAAGAATCACTATATGCGCTGTCTTTTTGCTGTTCTTTTATGGATCGTTTCCGGAGCATCTCTACCAAGAGTCCAACAGTAGTCTGCAAGCATGGAAGGATTCCACTTTCCCTGGTACCTTTTTTCCATTGTTGAAATATCCTGATGAAAACGTTCGCCGTGCTCATCACTTACGGCTCCGCAATTGTCAGGAAAAAAGTCCAGGTGTGAGTGTAGGAAAGGTATCTTAAGAGACATATTACAGCCCATCTTTTGATACGATGACAGCATATTTTTGACAAGGGTTTTATAGTTGTCAGCTTTTCTATTTCCCAAGAAATTAGTGACCACCAGACGGAAATCATTCCAAGCAGTTTTTTCAATACCTGTTAAAGTGTTTTCAAACTGTGTATCTTTCAAAATATTTAGAATCTGGCCCAACAAAAATACCTTCTTTAACCTTTGCCTCACTTAGTCTAGGAAATTTCTGACGCAGGTATTGAAAAGCTGACCCATCTCTATCTAATGCCTTGACAAAGTTTTTCATTAGGCCCAACTTGATATGCAGTGGTGGTAATAAATTTTTTTTCGGATCTACTAATGGCATATGCTGTACATTTTTTTGACCTGGCTCTAGGAATTGACGAACAGGCCAGTTTTGTCTGGTGTAATGAAGTGCCTTTGCCCGACTGTCCCATTCAAACAAAAACAGCAAAACTTTGTGTAGCCTAGCTGCAGCCCAAGTAAAAGTGCAACAGCTTTCAAATCGCCACAAATATGCCATTGGTGCTCATCGTATCTTATGCATGTCAATAGGTACTTCATATTGTCATATGATTCTTTCATGTGAACTTCATACCCTACAGGAAGAGATGGTAAGATATTTCCAATATGCAATAACACTGCCTTTAAACTCAATGTTGAACTGTCTATAAACAATCTCCATTCTTCTGTGTTATAGTTTATATTTAAAGCCGCCAGTAAGCCGTTAATGTTACTGCAGAAAACCAAGTTATTTTCCATATTGAAAAATGGTTCTGTCTTTGTGGCGTTTACAAAAAACGCATACCGAAACATCGTCTTCTAACAAGTTCCACTGCTGCAGTCTTGATCCAAGCAACTCTGCCTTACATTTTGGAAGTTCTAAATCTCTTACAAGATCATTTAATTCTGACTGTGTTATTTTGTGCGGTTGGTGGCATGACGTGCTCGGTATAGAATCAGGATCTCTTGACGTTGATGGCATATCTTCTTCCTCACGAATCACTCGATCGCCATGATCTGATTCGTTTTCTGATTCGCAAGTGTAGGATTCTGGGGGTTTTGGAATAGGATTTTCGTCACTGTGAGGTACAGGTCTCATCGCAGATGGTATGTTTGGGTAGTTAATAACCGATTTTTTTTCTTGGACATACCTGTGGCTTGTCCAACACAAGGTACCATGCAAAAGTAACAATCATTAATATGATTTGTAGGCTCTCTCCAAACCATTGGGACAGCAAAGCGCATAGACCGTTTTTTGCCATTTAACCAGCTCCTCAGACTTGAAGCACATGTATTACAGCAGATGTGGGGTGCCCACTGTTTTTCTTGATCACCTAGTTTACAACCGAAATAAAGCTGATATGCCTTTGTTATTAGTGGAGTAATAGACCGTCTCTGAGACGCAAAAGTCACATCACCACACACGTAACAAAACTGATCTGGATTGTTTACACACTTTCGAGACATCTTGCATGAACGCTGTCAGCCAACTGAGGAAAAAATGGCTAATATAAAACAATATAATGTACACGTATGTATAACGTAACACAATCATGCCGATTACATCATCTTTCCTTGCCGAATATAAAAATGTAGCACGTGCATTCTTGTGAATTACAGTATATTAACACTGTCTCAGCAGGAACACATATAATTACCGTATCTCTAAAACTTGAACTAATATTGAGAAAATAAGTTTCATTCCGGTTTTAGCACATTAAAAATAGTAATATTTTGTTGATTTTATTCAGGATATTTTTTGGCTGTTGATCAGTGAATCGGCGCTAGTAGCTGGCAAGAAAGATGATTTTACTGAATATCAATATTTTACCACTGGCTACAGCTCAATTCTATGCTGCCATTCCTCAGCCCCAACATTTTCCCACAAGAAGGTATCACTGCTTTTTTTCATTGGAGCAAGAATCAAACGATTTTCCTGTATACGAGGGATGTATTTTTGCATATGGAAATAAAACAACACGGTAGGTAACTTTAAGTGACTTTATTGTTTTTCGAGGTATTCACCACGAAGATTAATATACATCTGCATGCGCTCGAACCAATTTTCAAAGCAGTTATTCCACTCGTTTGCTGGCAGATCCAAAACGGCATTTTGAATGCGTCAACTGCTTCTTCTGCTGACTGGAACCTTTGGCCAGGCAGTCTGTTTTTAATTTTCGGGAAAGCAAAGAAATCGTTCGGACTTAGATCGGGACTATATGGAGGATGGTCCAATAATTCGACGTTTTCTTCCGTTAAATACTGCCTTGTTTTTTGGGCTGTGTGGGAGCTTGCATTGTCTTGGTTGAGGATGATTTTTCTTTCGGGGTTGATTTTTCGAGGCTCGGTGATGACTTTTGGCAAACAAATGGTGGTATACCAATCCGCAGTAACAGTTCTTTGCTCATTAAGAGGAATTGTTGCAATATGACCCGCTTTTGACACAAATGTCGGATGACTTTTGTTGGCCTTTCTTCACCTTGGAACACCCAAACAGCCGACTGTCGTTTATTTTCTGGTTCATAACAGTAAATCCACGATTCATCACCACTAACAATGCTGTACACATTTTTTGAGTTACCGGAATGGAAACGGTCAAGCATTTTTTGGCACCAATTAACCCTGGCTGCTTTCTGCTCTTCAGTCAACAGGCGGGGTATCCAACGAGAAACTAATTTTCTTACTCTTAATTCTTCGAGTAAAGTTTTTTGAATTGAGGTCTTTGAGATCTTGAAGGTCGCCTCAATCTCGCGATATGTCACATGTCTATCTTCAATGATGAGTTTGCGCACAGCATCGACGTTTTCCTGGGTGACTGCCGTTTTCGCTGCACCCACCCTGGGATCGTCGCTAAGACTCACCCGTCCACGTTTGAATTCTCCATACCAACGCGAAATTGTCGACTGATGTGGCGCTTCGTTGCTGAAAACAGACAGTAACTCAGCAAGGCATTCTTGTTGCGATAATTGTCTCTGAAGGTTGTAATAAATTATGGCGCGAAAATGTTCTCAGTTGAGTTCCATTTTTCTAATGACTTGGTGATACTTAAAAATGCACTGTAGTGATGTATTGTTTTAAAACTTTGAATTTGAGTTTACTAAAGAGTGAGGTTAATATTCAATACTGGCGTTCGATCCGCGTGGCCTACTATGCTTCTATATGCAAAACTTAAAAGACGTCCCTCCTACGTATGGTGATATTAGTAGTCTGGTGTTCTACCTGCCTAACTGTATTACCTACTTTGCCTGACATCTCTATCATCTGCCTGCCCTACAGAGCTAATCCCGCGCAGCATCACTTATGATGTTAAGGCGGCTCCGACGCAGTGAGTTTCAAGCCATTTACAAGGGTTCAGCTGCTTCAAAACTGACACTCCATTTTTAAATATTTTTTAATGAAATTCATGCAGTATGTTGAGAAGATAATTGCCCAGGGTCCTGAAGGAGCACTTTTTGAAATTTTGTTTTTGTACAAGTTTTATGATGGGTTGAAGTGCGCACTTCTTCTGTTCAACTTCGCGATTTTTTTAAAAAGAACCTAGTTGAAAAAGGAAAAAGTGGCTCTATAGCACCCTGTGGGGTTTTGTTTTGAGCACACTGTGAAAATTTCATCCAAAAATATCAAAAAATAAAGCGTCAATTCCGAAGCGCGCAAACCTCTACAAATCGTAGTTTGGACGAATTTTGTCTACTGTTTCGTGCTGCCGACACAAGCGTAGCGGCGCAATGTACGGACGAAGAAAGGCCGTATTCAGATAATTTGGTGGCCCTATTTCATATAAAATTTTGTAGATAACTCGTTCTGCAAATAGGCACTATCGATTTTAAAGCCGTTTTGTAATCGCGAGAAATTTCTAAAATGAGATGTTATGTTTTTTTTAAGTCATATGGCATCTATATCACAAAAAACTGTATCACTCATCATCAACTTGGAAATTACAGCTCGGATTTTTATGAAATTTCCCCGCTCCCAAAGCTTTGTAGTTCTATTCCACTGGCAACGGTGCTATAGGCAAAAAAGAAAAAGTAACAATTGCTGAAACACCGTTTTTGACGTTTCAGGAGTTCCTAATCATTGACATAAAAAGTTGTACTGCTTAAAAAGGGGGGGTTGAAATCAGTGAAACACGTTCTATTATTAAGAAGCTTTTGATCCCAGTGATTACAGGAAATTTAAGTAACGAAAATCCGACGAATAATGTGCTCACGATTTGAAAAAAATCGGTATCTGCTCCATAGGTGTTTGACACCAAGAGCCAACAGATCTGCAACTACCGACAGTAGGGAAGAATAAATTCGGATAAGTATAGGGGAACTTAGCGTGGAACTTTAAAATTATCGATATGTCAAGGAAATATGTTCTTGAGAATGATAATTTGGTAGATTTTATACCTGCATTTTCATTTGAATTTCATGACCCGTGAAATGTACCCATTTCGCCGTTACCTTCAATTTGTGTTCTGCAGTTTGTGATGTTTTTCTGGATATAAGCAGGACATAATTGCCTAGGGTGCTATCAGAGCTTTTTACAAAATTTTGTACTTGCGCAAGAGTTATGGTGGGTTGAAATGCTAACTATTTGTGCAGAACTTCTTGATATTTTAAAAAGATCCTAGTGGATAAAATCGAAATAGTGGATCGCTGGCACCCTGTGGACTTTGTCTTTAGCACGCTGCAAGAGAAATAATAAAAATTAAACGTAAGCTGTGAAGTGCAAATCGGTTTTTGGGCGAAATTCATCTACTGCTTAAACCTGCCAGTCCAAGCGTCGTGACGGTGCGTTCCGACTAAGAAAAAATGTCTTCAAATAATTTTATATCTTTCCTAAAATAAATTCAAGAACTCAAATTTAAATTCGTTTATTCATGTCAATAAACAATATTATGTTTACAAGGGTCATGTGGTAGATGGTAACAATTGAACGAGGGTCATAAAAATATCTTATGCAGTCAAAACAAGAGGAAACAGTTAGGTACCTGGATTAAGTACATGTCTTGTCTACTGTAATAGGTAGACGGAGGTGATGCTGGCAGAAATAGATGTGTGCGATCAATAAACAAACCACAAGATTGAACTGCCGTGTCCAATGATTTTTGTATTGCCGTTTTTTATTGCCTTACTAGAAAACTCTGTTGGGTATATGATGGAGTTTATTAGAACTTAACAGCTTGTTGTCTGCCTTCTTATACAAACTTCACCACACCGAGACGCTGTCAACCTTATCCTCCGTTGAAGACACCACAAAGTATAGTCCTGTGATTTGTTGACTTGTTCAATCTGCAAAATCTCGTCGTCACTTTCTTTAAGTTTCCCTAAAAAATTTCGCTAAGCAACCTCCAAATCAATGGAATTAATGTCAGGCTTTTGACCGAATTCGCCATAAAACTATTCATTTTCTTTGGAATTGCTATCCGAATTGTTAGTTATTTTTATATCAGCTTTTTTTGGTCTGAGTTTCTTTTCAAAATTCTTGCGTTTGAGTCTTTGTTCCATCTTAGTGATAAGCGAGGTTGGACTAAGCTTAGCACGCAAATGTATTTGAACCACATAAACAGGCCGCTCGGTATTGTGGCTCACTACAGCTGCAGCACATTTTCCTCTTCTTGCAATAATTTATTCGCTTACCCCAATGTATTTTGCGATTATAGAGTTGAACTGCTCCACATTATTGTTGTCCTCATCATGAATTAAACTCACTGCATTCGTAATTAAAATTGTCGCATATGACCTTTTATTGTCCATTATCAACCTTGATAAAAAAGGCACTTAAGAACAATCACACCAACAAGAGTACAGCTCAACAATTCAACAACACAATATCGACGAACAGTAACCAGGGTAGAACAATACTAAATAATCACTTGCTGAGTACCAAAATAGGAAACGATTTACAGGCTAGATCGCTAATCGAAATCCGACTCTGTTAATATAAAAATTTACCTTGGCACGCACCCGTAGTCATCCTTTCCTCTTTTAAAGTAGCGCCGACAACCATCTAAGACCTGCCCACCCTCGTTTTCTTTTCACCCCCCCGTTACCTCAGCAGATGGTACTCGTGATTGTAGGAGCTCCGTTAAAGCCGTATGATCAAAATGTTTGGTAATGGCATCAACACGGATTGCTGCGGGTCTTCTATAGAGAAAAGCAGAATAGAGGTATATCGCCGTTAGATCAACCATGCAATCGTCTTACTAGTACCACTTCAACGCTTTTTGTTCTGTGTAACCAAATATTGATTTGTACACTACAGTTGTCCATATGACCATCTTAAAGCTACCTCAAAAGGTTCCTCAGCTTACGAAAGTAAAACCAAAACTTATTCCAGCTGCTAAGGGCTTCCTTTTAAACGAGTTGCATGTTCACGTGCTGGTAATATGTGCCCGGCCATGACACAGCACGTTGAGCACATTTTTTTCTAATAAAAACTTACACCCTTTGACTGGACTAACATATTAAAACAATAAAAACCTGATTAATATAATAATTTTAACACGTCGCCAGTATAGGAAATGTGGGTGAAGCATGCATTCCGTAAAACAGCTCTTAAATAATATTTTTCTGGTTAGTAGATTAGCTCTCCTCAGTAGGGTTCCTATGTCGCACTGTGTGTGCGGCATAAATTAAAGAATTACCGACCAGTATAAATTGGGTTATAGCATTCCGGAAATACCTTGATGATATATGGAGCCAGTTAGTCCCGTTTGAGTCCTTCCTGAAATCTACAGTAATAACAAGGCTTTAACCTCATTCTTCCACGCCTGAAAAACTTGAGGAGATACATCATTTCCAGCGATGCATTGAGAGGAGATTTGACGGTTACCACCACGAAAAGTGTTGCTTTATTTTGATGAGACCGAACCAGCCGCACAGGCAGAAGCCTAAATGCCAGGGCACCGCGACTGCTACGAGGAGCTTGAAGATACTTTGTTAATCCGTTAAAGAATTACCAACCAGTATAAATTGGGTTATAGCATTCCGGAAAGACCTTGATGATATATGAAGTCAGTTAGTCCCGTTTGAGTCCTTCCTGAAATCTACAGTAATAACAAGGCTTTAACCTCATCCTTCCACGCCTGAAGAACTTGAGGAGATATATCATTTCCAGCGATGCATTGAGAGGAGGTTTGACGGTCACCTCCACAAAAATTGTTAGGTTATTTTGTTTAGACCGAAGCAGTCGCGCAGGCAGAAGCCTAAATGCTAGGGCACCGCGGCTGCTACGAGGAGCTCAAAGATACTTTGTTAATCCGATTTTTTAACTACCTCAGTTTAGTCTGTTTGCCAGGCACATCGCGGCAGCATCATGGAGCAAAGGAGCAAAGCTCGTTGGCGTAGCGGTAGAAGAGTGCTAGATCGGCCGGCCGGTGAGAAGGGGCCTCGAGACTGTCCATTAGAGAAGAGTCATCAATCATTAGGATAGCCCTTCTCTGAATAGCACCGAGCATGTAATGGGTGATTTTTTTGCTAGTATCTTTTTGGCAACACTGTTTTTGATCCACATCTTTATCGAAAAATTGTGTTCAGTGACGAAGCTCATTTCTGGCTGAATGGGTACATTAATAAGCAAAAT